TTCGAACGCTCTGCGTTATATACTGTTTCTTTCGTGGCCCCTCGCGGTAAGGGGATGTTTTCGTCCACATGCTATTGCGAAATCTCTAGTACGTGCCGATTATGTAATTAGCGATTTGCTCTAATGATTAGATTTTTGTTGGTTTGCGCCTTTTATTTCGCTGCGGGGGTCGCGAGGTTCGTACTGACGCGCTCAGTCGTCGCGTACTGCAGCCCGTTGCGGCAGGACTTGCATCTGTTCTTTGTGTGTTTTTTCATCGTGAATTTTAGTATTGTTCTGGATCTTTTCGTTCTTTGTGCTCGTGGAATTCGGGTGTTTGTTTAAGGCTTTCTCTAAGTTATTTGAGCTTCAATTTTATTCGCGGTGATTTCGTTCGTATTCAGGGCCCTTTTGTAACCGGTGGGTGCATTCATGGTTGCGCGGCGGTGCATTGCGTTGGCGTTATGCGTTTCTATTAATTTTCCATGTGTCTGCGGGTTTTCCCTGCAGCTGCGTCGAGGTCGGTTGTTATCTTAATTATTCCCTGCTCCGTGTTAATGGTGTTTTCCCGTTAAAATGCATTCTTGCATCGTTTTCAGCATTTATACTTTGGCGCAGGCGCAGTATGCGCGGCTTTCAATCGCGACGGTTTCGGTGGCTTGGCCTATAGCTGTACGCGATTGTAGTAGGCACGTATTGTATCTGTTTGCTATACTTCGAGCTCGCGCTCGCTTGGTAATAGGACGGAGCGCTATATTATAGGTGCACCGGACGTTACAACGATCATCATTTACCCGACTCTATAACTCAATCGTATATACACATGCTAGATATTTTAACTGTCATTGGAGATGGGTTTTATTTTTCTTATTTTTCGAAATATTCATATTTTTTAATATGATTCTGACTTTTTTTTATTAATAAGCTTTTTATTTATATTATTTTTCTAAGTATTATATTTTTATCCTTCTTATTTACATTCATGCTTTACTACTATACTACCATGTTATTATTATACATCAAGATCTGGCAGCGCCAAGTGTTATTACATGAAAAATTTTTCTATTTAAATTAAATTTTTTCATTTTATACGGATAATTCTTTAATTTTTTGTGGTAACACTCTCTCTTAAATTGAGCAAGGTAACGCAATTTTGTGATAATGTTTTGAAGTTAAATAACCACTACTTTAGTTGGAAGAGAAAATGTCTTTGAATGAATTGTGATATAATAATTTCGTTTAAGAGGAATTTAAACCATTTGGATTGGAATAGGAAGATTCTTCAATAAATATACGTATACTTAGGTTTTATTGCATAAAAATTAAAGAGAGTACCATTTGGATTAAGTAAATAATAAAAATAGTATCACTTGACATTTAATTTTGATAGTAGAATTTAACTTCGTGCCACAGTTGCTGATATCAAATCGTTCGTACAAATAATGCATACCATTAGATTAATATTCATTATTTATTTAATTTGGCATTGTATAAAGAAGTGGGATTTAACTTGGCGCCAGTTCTTGATATCAAATCTTTTATAGGAATGATACATATAATTAAAGTTAATATTATTTATTTAATTTGGTATTCGAATTACATGGAATTTAACTTGGCGCCAATTGTTGATATCAAATCTTTTTTACGAATAATATATAAAATTTTGATAAAATTTTGATGAATTTAGCTTGGCGCCAATTTTGTTGATATCGAATATTTCATACGAATGATGCATATCATTAGTTCTATTAAACAGCAAACGTGATTAGTTATCAATTTCACGGCCGATTAAGTAATTGGTGAAACTGGCCCAAATGGTGATTCTTTACGAGAAGCACACACGCTTAGCTCTTTTTTTACCTTCTTTAAAAAGGTAAGTTTGTACATGATTAAATAGTCTTTTATACAGACGATACATATATCATCAGATTTAGTAAATTTTGTGATATAATGATTTTCATGTAATAATTTTTGAAGGAGAATAAAGCCATTATAACTTGGGTTGGAATGTATCATATACAAAGAATTTCATCCAACAGCAAACGCAATTAGTCATCAGTTCTACGGCTGATTACCATAAGTAATATTTTATTCCTCCCGCAAATTATATAATTATTATTATGTAAGATGCTTTTTTTACGAAATTCATTTTTAGATATTATTGAAAATAGGACTCGTCGACTTTATCTCAACTGACTAGGCTATTAAAAACTTTGTTTTTGAAATTTAACTTGGCGCCAGTTCTTGATATCAAATCTTTTATAGGAATGATACATATCATTAATAATTATTACAGTAATATGAATTTAACTTTGCGCTACAATTGTTGATATCAAATCTTTTATACAGATGATACATATACTTTGTGATATGATTTTTATGTAATAATTTTTGAAGGGGAATAAAGCCATTATAACTTGGGTTGGAATGTATCATATACAAAGAGTTCCATCAAACAGCAAACGCAATTAGTCATCAGTTCCACGGCTGATTAAGTAATAACGTTGGTGAAACCGGCCCAAATGGTGGTTTCCACACGAGAAGCACGCACGCTTAGCGCTTTTTTTACCTTTTTTCAAAAAAGTAAATTTTTATACGATTAAAGTTACTATTACTCAATTAAAAAATCCCACCACCACCCCCATCGTCTTATAATAATAAAATTTAACTTGGTAGAATTTATAAAATACTTGGGTTTCACTTTTTATTTTGATAGTAGAATTTAACTTGGCGCCAGTTTTTGATATCATATCAAGACGATGGTCTTCTATATTTTGTATACGTTGTGCATAAATTTTCTTTGCTGAATATATGCAAATATTGTTTGGAATATATAAATTATATCTTTTTTGTATAGCTTTGGTTCAACGTTTTGCTGTTGTACGACCTTCCAAATTCGTGATCCGACACTGAACGATTTACATTTGTCATTATCTCACGATATTCGGCTATTTTTTGTATACTACTGTACCTCTATGTGCTCTTAATTAAAATAGTATCAGCTACCAATTGATAAGATCTTTTTATTCCAGTAACTTATTTGTAATCTAAGGCCCGGTTGCACCAAAGTTATTTTAATCTTAAGCGAGGCTTAAAACTCTCTTTGTCCCTGTCACTATCGGTTTTAAAACAAGAGAGAGAAAGTTTTAAGTTTCGCTTAAAATCCAAAGTAACGTTGGTGCAACCGGCCTAAGAGGAACAAGGGCCTCTAGTCCATTTCTCATTATTTACGGCTTCTAACCAGAATCTGAAAAACATAATTTTATGCTTGAAATTTTATGCTGCGTTCAACTAATAATACAACTACATTTTATTTACAATACAATCCTGTAAAGAAGAAAATTAACATTTGATAGAATAGTACTTTTTGAGAAAACCAATAGTTGTCAACTTTAACGCTTAATATCTCGATTCACGTGGCAGAGCGACACTTTTTTTCTGCCAGATTCTTTCGTTTCATGCAAAAGCTCGTCGAATAAGCTGCTGTACACCAATCGCCCTAGACTGCCGACTGATGGCATTGATCACGACACTTATTTCTCCGACGGCAAACGAAATCCTAGACATTCATTTCCTCGAACACCTAGACACCCACTTTCTCGACGGCGAATGCAGACAATACCTAGACACCCACTTCTTCGGCGGCGAAAACCTAGACACTCAGTTCATCGATTACAAACACCTAGACATCCACATCTTCGACGGTGAACACCTAGACACCCATTTCCTCGACGGCGAATTCTTCGACGACGAACACCTAGACACTCATTTCCTCGACGGCGAACACCTAGACACCAACTTCCTCGACGGCGAACACCTAGACACCCATTTCCTCGACGGCGAATGTAGACAACACCTAGACGCTCACTTCTTCGACGGCTAACACCTAGACGCCCACTTCCTCGACAGCGAACACCTAGACATCCATTTCCTCGACGGCGAATACCTAGACACCCATTTCCCTAATAGCGAACACCTAGACACCCACTTCCTCGACGACAAACATCTAGACGCTTAATTCCTCGACAGCGAACACCTAGACGATTAATTCGAGAATATCTATACATCCTCTTCCTCGACGTGGTAAATACCTAGATCTTCAACGACAATCTCGATATTTTATTTTAATTATAATTAATATTTTAGCATTGACATTCCCCTTGAAGTTAAATATCTATTACAACTTGATGATAAATTTGGGCTTCCAATTAATAAGAATAACAAAGAAAAAACTTTGATTGAGTTTATTAAACAAATTGAGAATAAAATTATTGGTCGACCCAAGAATATTATCAATTTTGTTAGAAACAATTCTATCTCAATTCTCAACAGATTCCAGAATAATTTTCCTGCTCCTAATTTTTTTGACAAACAGATTTCAAATTGGCTACACATAACTAATAAATTTATTAATAACCATCCAAATATTCTTATTACAAACGCTGACAAGGGGAATGTCACTGTTGTTCTTGACAGACACTTACATAACAAAAATGGAAGAGATTCTTTCAGATTCTAATACTTACGAAGTCATTGCTAAAGATCCAATTAGAAAGTTAATTCAGGATTTACGTGCATTGTTGGTGAGATGGAAGCGCGATAGTTACTGTTACGTGTTCTCAAGTGAGAACCGGTGCCTTGCACGTGTTTTCTCGTAAATGCTTGCTTCTTAGAAATGAGTGGACTGTATCTAAATAACTTGATGCAATGAATTGCTGCGGTATGGAAAAACTTGTATTTCCTTCTTCAAGAGCTAATACAACAACTGCCAGCGCAGGGCTGCTAACTAGACAACTAAAAATAACACCAACGCGACACTCGCGCCGCTCGTTTCCGCTACCAGCGGTATTCCCTAGCAGGGCGGATTACAACTAAAATATGACAATTAGATCATCGCTCTAACATAACCGCGCGCCTTGCTTATCCGCGGATAGCAACAAATTAAATCATAAAATGAAACCAATAACCTATATTCATTATACGTATCTACTTAAAAACTAATCGTCGTCAATGGCCCCGTTTTAGATAGGACCTTCTTCAATAGGCAATACACATAGCTTCGCCGCAGGACGCTTGTATTCTCCATTGACTGTCTTTATCTTAGCCGCTCTGACTACTCCGTCTGCTCCAGGCATGACTTCATATACTCGCCCGAGTACCCATTTTAACGGCGGCAATCCATCTTCGCGGCAAACGACTAATTGCCCGACTTGTATTGTTGGTCCTGTATTAGATGGCCATTTGTTACGTCTTTGAAGGCCCAGTAAATATTCAGCAGACCATCTCTTCCAAAAATGCTGACGTATCCTTTCGATTAATTGCCATCTAGAAAGTCGATTAATCCTAGTGTCCAACAAGTCCGCCTCTGGAAAAGAGGTCAACGCAGCACCTATAAGAAAATGACCTGGTGACAGAAAACCTAAATCATTGGGATCCTCCGATATAGCCGTCAGCGGGCGCGAGTTTAAAATCCCTTCGATCTGCACTACGAGAGTCGAGACCTCTTCGAAGGTCAGACACGCATCTGAAGCTGTCTTATAAAAATGGGCTTTGAACGACTTTACTGAACTTTCCCATAATCCTCCAAAGTGGGGGGCTCGAGCGGGAATAAAGTTCCATTTTATGCCTTCCGAAGCCGCATAGTCCATAATATTGCGTCCCTTCTGCTCCTGTGAAAATACCTCTAGGCACTTCTTTAACTCTTTGTCGGCTCCAACAAAATTCGTGCCATTGTCCGAATATACATTGGTCGGTTTTCCCCGACGCCCAATGAAACGCTTGAACGCGTTAAGAAATGCCTCTGTAGTGAGATCTGAAACAACCTCCAAATGTATAGCCTTGACGGCCATGCAAACGAACACAGCAACATATCCCTTAACTCGCTTGGACCCTCTTCCCCTTCTCTCTCGTATGTGAATGGGGCCACAAAAATCAACCCCTACATTAACAAAGGGCCTAGAAACTGAGACTCTGTCGCGCGGCAAGTCTCCCATAATTTGTGTCGAGTGACGTGGTCTATATCTGAAACATTTAACGCATTTATAGATTAATCTCTTAATTGTACCGCGAGCCCTAATTGGCCAGTATGACTGCCGAACTGCAGCCAACGTTGCTTGAGCCCCGGCATGAAAATGTCTAATGTGCTCGTGCATAATTATCAATTCAGTGATTCTAGAACGCTGGGGTAGTACTAATTGGTGTTTGGCATCGTACTGCAAATCCGCATGTCGCAGTCTACCCCCCACTCGTAGCAAGTCGTCCTTATCTAGCAATGGGTTAAGATATTTTAAGCAACTACTATTCGCAATCGCCCTACCTTTTCTTAACGCTTCTATCTCCGAATGAAAAGCCGAATTTTGCTCCATTTTAATTAAACATAATTTCGCCTGAGCTAATTCTTCTGCTGATAATGGCTTATCTGTTTTTTCCCTTTTTTTTCTGCAAAAATTCGCAAACCGTAGACACGTTGCCGTAACTCGAATGAGCCTTTGTAAGGTTGAAAATCTATTCATGAAGCTATCGTCCGGCGCAATCTTCGATGTTAATGCTACTATCGATTCTGAATCTTGTTCTACTGGATCCCCTAACGTATCCTTCTCTTGCCGCCATGGTCTGACTTGAGCCATATCTTTCAGCCATGTAGGACCTTCCCACCATAGCTGAGCGTTGCACAATTCCCTCGGAGCTGTACCTCGGGATACTAAATCCGCGGGATTTTCTTTACTACCAACGTGGTTCCAATCTGCTGCCGCTGTAGATTCTTGAATTTCTCCTACTCTGTGCGCAACGAAGACCGGTAACCTTTTATTCGTGCATTTGATCCACTGTAAAACGATAGATGAGTCTGACCAATAATATGTCTTGGACAATTTGATGACTAACGCGTCTCTGACTTTATTAACTAATTGAACTAACAGCTGAGCTCCGCATAACTCGAGTCTGGGTATCGACACCGTTTTGATCGGGGCTACCCTGCTCTTGGCGCACAACAACTGGACTTGAGCCGAACCATCTTGATTGAGAGTCTTCAAATAGATGCATGCTCCATACGCCCTTTCGCTGGCGTCGCAAAATCCATGCAATTGAACCTCTGAGCACGATCCCTCGGCAACGACTCGACGTGGCACGCAGAATTCATCCAGACATTGCATGTCCTCAGTAAACTTTGACCATTTAGCAAATATATCCGCTGGTAGCGATTCGTCCCATTCCAGCTGGAGCCTCCACAGTTCCTGAATTAATATTTTTGCTGTTATTATTGCAGGCGCCAATAACCCGAGCGGATCAAATATTTGCGCTATGCTAGCCAACATTATCCTCTTCGTGCAGCCCGCAGTACAGGCTACTTTAATGGAATATTGAAATGCGTCCTTGCGATGATTCCATTTGACACCCAAAGTTTTTGTAGTGCCATCCTTATCAAGCTCCATAATTGCGTTGTCTATCCTTTCACCCGGCACGTCTCGCAATAATTCTTCGTCATTCGAAGCCCACTTTCTGAGCACGAATCCACCTTTCAGGAGCAACGCTGCCACCTGATCACGGATCATTTTTGCTTCTCCGATGGAATCCGCGCCAGATATGAGGTCGTCCATGTAGAAATCTCTTCGTGCTACTGCTGCGCCCACGGGCCACTGCTTTTCCTCCAAATTAGCTAACTGCTGGATGCTTTTCGTAGCTAGGAACGATGCTGGTGCAGTTCCGTACGTTAACGTTAGCAACTCGTACTTCTTAATAGCTTTCTCTGGGTTGTCCCTCCATATTATACGCTGCAAAGAAGTTTGCTCTGGATGCACGAATATCTGCCTGTACATCTTGCTTATGTCAGACGTCACTACGTACTTAAAACTCCTAAATCTTAGCAATATAGCGAATAGATCCTGCTGTACAACCGGCCCCACCATCAATGCGTCGTTCAATGAAACACCACTGGATGACTTGCTTGACGCGTCGAACACTACCCTCAATCTTGTAGTAGTGCTTGATTCCTTTAATACGCAATGGTGCGCTAGATAATATTGCGGCTGAACATCTGCCTCCTCGGTTTGTACTTCTCGCATGTGCCCTAATTGCAAATATTCTTGCATAAACTCTACATAAGCCTGCTTTAACTGGGGCTGCTTGCTGAATTTCTTCTCCAAATTGTTGAACCGCCTGAGAGCTGATTCCTGAGAATCCCCAATCTTTTGAAGCTGCTCTTCCTTTACTGGGAGCCGCACGATGAAACGGCCTTCCTTGTTGCGCTGATAAGTACGCTCAAAATGCTTCTCGCATATACGTTCCTCCGGAGAGCGAGTACTTTGCCTCCCCTGATGCTCGATCTGCCAAAAACGGGCTAGGTTCGCGTTCAACTCTTCGTAAACTGCTAAATTACAAACAACACCCTTATCTCTGGGATCCTCGGATGTCAGGCTTCCCGAAGCTATCCAGCCTAGCAAAGTCTTTTGCCATGTCGGCTGCGTTCTTGAAATCTTGATTCTGCCTACGCACATTAAGTCGAAAAATATTTCCGCACCCAGGAGCAAGTCCACTACCGAAGATTTATAAAACTCAGGATCGGCCAATAAGATCCCTTCCGGAACTTGCAGCTCGTTCATGCTAATCCGACTACCGGGTATCGCTTGCGTAATACGTTCTATCACCAAGCAGTCGAGGACCGTGGAGAATTTGTTCACTCTTGATTGTAAGGTTATTCTAACCCTCTTGTTAGCTTGTGTGGACATTGCTCCTAAACCAGAAATCGGAACGTTCGTCGAAACTGGCTTAACAGCCAATCGCTTAACGCAGCTGCTGGTAATGAAACAGGATTGCGAGCCGCTATCCAATAGAACTCTGCATGTTATACTCCTGCCATTATTATCCGCTATGTTTACTAATGCCGTTGCGAGTAAGATTTGATTTTCTTGCTTCACAGCTTTGTGACTTAAACCGATAGCCACTACCTTTTCCTGTTCGGTTGTAACCTCCTTCGCCATGGCCTCCGAAGTTGCTTCCGAGGATGATTCCATGTGAAGTAATGTGTTGTGCCGCTTATTGCACCTGCGACACGCTCCTCCGCTACAGTTCTTAGCTATGTGTGAGGCAACCTTGAGGCAGTTTAGACACAGCTTGCGTGTTCTTGCTTCTTTGAATCGATCATTGACGCTCATCTGCAAATATTCCGGACACTTGTATATTGGGTGCCCTTCCTTTCGGCAGTATGTACATTTACTGCTTATCGTAGCCGGGGCCGCGATAATGCCCTTGGCTTGGTGGCCCTTTCCTAGATTCTGTCCAGGCGTTCCGCTCTGCGTTGTACGTGCTGACGCCTCCAAGGCCTTGCAGTGTTGCGCCAAAAAATCCGTTAGCTGCTTGAGAGTAGGGGCCTCTCCTTGTTTCACGGTGATTTCCCAAGCTCGATTTGTCTTTGGATCCAGGCGGCTGCTTATTAGATATACCATAAGATCGTCCCAACTATCGATGGGCCTGTTTAATGCCTTTAGCGCGCGCAAATGCTTCAGGAAACAATCCAATAGGCGTCGCAATGACAAATGATTCTCTTTCGCGACTGCTTGAATCTCGAACATAGCCTTGATATGTTTCTGAATTATGGCTCCCGAATCGTCGTACCTATCTAACAGCATCTCCCAGGCTTCCGTGTAATTCTCGTCAGATATCTCGAGGGAACCAATAATATCACGCGCTTCACCTCGCAGAGCTGAAACTAAATATTGCATTTTCTGTGCCTTAGGCAACGCCGCGTTCTGGTCAATCATGCTGCGAAACATGTTGCGGAACGGCATCCACTCCTCAAAAGTTCCTGCGAAGGTGGGCAAATTCACACGCGGCAGCTTTAAATGATCGCTATTGCTACCCCCCAGCGTGGCTGGTGTGCCCTCTCTTTCACGACGCGAATTTTGATTTAAATTAACGATCGAACCTAAACCTAACCTAGCTTCGATTAATGCTTCGAGCCCGGACGCGATAGCAAAATATTTCTCTTCAAAAGCCCGCCGTTCTTCATCGTGACTGTCCGTATTATCTGAGGTTATCTCTATTTCTTCAATAGCCGATTGAACATCGTTAAACGCGTCCCATGTCTCGTTAACTTTATGTAGTCTCTGACGAAGCTCGACCGGAGAGGCGCTTTGCACGCCTGACGTCTCTAGATATGTGGCTACTCTAGTACATTGACGCTTGATTTGTGCTCTTTTCGATTTTAACGATTTTAATGCAGCGGCATTCGACGCCTGCTCGTTGCTGCCGCTTCCGTCTGAATCCGGCATCTCGTACGATACTGTTTAACCTATTCTTATAATGAGAAGTCGCGTTACGCTATTGCGAACCAACACTGACTACTGCCTAACGATCGATTATCGATGGCCGCGATCGAACTATAGCGTCGATATCTCCTATCTTCTTCGCGAGTCGCGGCACTAACCAATATGGCGCCGCTTTTCCTTTTGACCACGAGGCCTGATACTATGAATGCTTACACAAACGGGTGTAACGATTATACTCACTGGACATGCGGAACCGCTTACCTTACGGGTATCTAAATACGATGCCAAACGCCTCACAGCGTCTTTTTAATCCCAGACACCCGCCTCGATTGTTAGCCCAGCGATCCCTTTGTCTATCGAATGCTTCGTTTCGTCGTTCTCCGAGCTGACTTATCCGGCTCGAAGGACCAATGTTACGTGTTCTCAAGTGAGAACCGGTGCCTTGCACGTGTTTTCTCGTAAATGCTTGCTTCTTAGAAATGAGTGGACTGTATCTAAATAACTTGATGCAATGAATTGCTGCGGTATGGAAAAACTTGTATTTCCTTCTTCAAGAGCTAATACAACAACTGCCAGCGCAGGGCTGCTAACTAGACAACTAAAAATAACACCAACGCGACACTCGCGCCGCTCGTTTCCGCTACCAGCGGTATTCCCTAGCAGGGCGGATTACAACTAAAATATGACAATTAGATCATCGCTCTAACAGTTACATTGACGATCAAACATATCGAAGATTACTTACAACTGATGGTGTTATACCCTGTTATACCTAGAGCTTACGGTTTGATTAAAATTCATAAAGACGGTAACCCATTGAGAGTGATTGTTTCTTCTATCAATAGTCCTTTATATTTTCTTTCTCTTTTTCTACATAACATTATTAACGACAGCATACCAAAGACTTTTAGCCACATTAAAGACAGTTTCCATTTAGTTGAGAAATTAAATGGTAAAAGGTTTGATTCTCAATATGTTTTGGCTTCGTTGGATGTAGTGTCCCTTTTTACTAATATTCCTGTTGATCTAGCATTGAATAGCATTGACAGGAGATGGGAATACATCTCAGCGAAGACTAACATTTCAAAAAATGAATTTACCATTGCAGTTAAATTTATTTTAGATTCTACCTTTTTTGCTTTTAACAATAAAACTTACAAACAGGTTTTTGGTACTCCAATGGGTTCACCTTTATCGCCGATAATCGCTGACATAGTATTGCAAGATCTAGAAGAAATAGCTATCAATAGATTAACAGTAGAGCCTTTGTTTTATTTCAGATATGTAGATGATATTATTCTCGCGCTTCCATCTGATATTATAATTGATACACTTAATACTTTTAATTCTCTACATACGAGACTACAATTTACCTTGGAGGTTGGATCGGGAGGCAGATTGAGTTTTCTAGACACAACACTTATTATATATAATAATAGAATTATTTTCGATATATATCATAAAAACATTTTTTCTGGTAGGTTTCTTAATTTTTACTCTAATCATCCTCTTTGTCATAAGAAAGACAATCATCAGTTCCATAAAATTTTCTTATTATCACACCCATGGTTCCAAGAAAAAAATTTAATAGAAGCTATTCATATTTTCCTGGACAATTGTTATCCTTTATCTTTCATTTTTTCTACAATTGAACAAAGACTAAAATTTCATATCCACAACAAACATATTACACATAATTTACAAGTAAAAGATAAATATTTCACTATTCCTTACGTTAAGTCTATTTCAGAGAACTTTCTTCCGATTTCTAGCATGTTCCATTGTAAATTAGCTTTTACCATCCCTAACACTTTAAAAGGTCTTATCAGGAAGGGAAAACATAAGTTGGAATTTTTATCCAATCAAAATGTTGTATGTAAGATCTCGTGTGATGACTGTGAAGCGAGTTATGTTGGTCAGACAAAGAGAAGAGTACAAGGTGAACATAAATCTGACATTAGGAAGAATACAGGTTCTCCCACTGTCATAACTGATCATTGCGTCAATTTTGACCATAACTTTAGATGGAACGATGTGAGAATTTTAGATTGTGAATCTTCGTATAGTAAGAGATTGGTGTCTGAAATGATTCACATCAAAAGACAAAAACAGGGTCTAAATAAAATGAATGATACAGAATCATTACTCGAGTCTTATTCGCAAATTATACAATCTCTTTCTCCTTCTTAACTGCTTTCCTTCTTACTTCCCTTCTTCCCAATTTCTTTTCCCTCTACTTTATTTCTCTCTCTCTTATTTACTCCTTCCTTCGGCATTTACACTTCAACCTGCTTACCAAAGATTGTCTTACTCACATTGTCTCTGAACACACTAGAGAGATGACCATTTCACTCTCATCGCATTGTCTGATAATTTGATATATTTATATTATATTGGCATATGTTCTATAAGGTATATATCAAATGTTATTTTAACTGTTACACAATTTATTTTGATATATTTTAGTTTGTAATTACAATAGACAATTTTATTTTATACTGACATATGATCTGTAATGTATTTTTCATTATTTATTTTAATTGTTACAAATTGTTATTTTCTATTAATTTTCTTTGTTATTCACACATTAATTTATTATTTATTAATTAAGTTTATATTTCTAAGAATTCTAGATTACTCATTTAATGTTATATATTTTTTTTTCTTTTTGTATTTGGTATTTATTTTTTTTTCTTGCTTTATGCACTTTTAATATTATATTTTTTAAATAATAATTTTATATACGTTTTAACAGATACAATTTCGTTCTAATCCGCATACTATGTCCAGAAGTTCACATTTTTACTGACTACAACCATTGTACAAGCTTCATGTTACACTGAGTGTTTTTTTTATTACATTAATACTATGAGTCTTACAAGTTTTGCGATTGAGAGTGAATTATAATTTTTATATTCTAATTTTTTAAATATTTTCACCGTTTTACTTTTATATTATAACATTGATAGTGATCCAACAGGGATCGAAACGTCTGTTTTTGCTTTGTTTATGTTTTATTGTTTATTGCCGGCAAATTAAAGTTTATATTATAACGAAATGACATGTTTATGTTCTGTGACTTCTTAATAATTTCAATTTTATAACGATTAAATTTTAGGCTCGTAGCCCTTTTTCGTTCCGTTCTTTTTTAAATTAATATTTTATTTTAATTCATTTCATTAAAAAAGAGAAAATAATCAAGGGCTAATGAGAGTGAAATCGCTGTAGACGTTTGCGATGAATTACGAATTTATTCCATATTACTCTGTTCAGACGTTTCGGCCTTCCTTCGAGCCATCTTCAATGTATCCGAACTATACAGTCATATTAATTTTCATAGCTAGACTAGAGAGTGACCACTCGTTCCATCTTCTTCAAATCGTGACACAAGATTGATAAAGCTAGTGGCAAACGATCACAGATGTATTCTGTGTGTGACGAAAAAATAATTATTACCACAATGTGTCAAAAAAATTTTTTGTAAATTACCAGTGAATCACTCACCCGCATAGCCATGTACAAATAATCCAAATTAACAACAAATGCCGCAAAATCAACAACCGTCAACAATAAGTAAAATTTTCTCAGTGTGTCATTATTAAATAAATTTTAAATCAAATTATATCGAGAAACGTGGTATGTCATGTTAACACACTAATGGTCGACAAGCGAATAAGTCATAACCGAAAAGCGTTTGAATACAAGCATGAAACATACGTAAGTCAACCTTCACGAAATTACATATTGAACAAGTCAAAAAACACAACATGTAGATTCACACCAAGCATAGACTACAAAAGATAAAGGCAGATAACATACTAATGCCAATATTCAATTTAGATTATTAAGAATCGATATGTATGCATGATGTAAAAATTCCGTGTCGGATTGTGAATTCAAACCATTTTTCTGTAATTGTATGTGAACCATTTCGGCAATTCGTCGTTTGTATAAAAGTCGTTCATTATCCATAATTTCCACATTGTCCCAATCAAAATCATGGTTAAAATTCAATCTATGCTCAGTGATAACTGAATGATTGCTATTAGTTTTTCGGATGTCATTTCGGTGTTCTGTGATTCTCGTCTTCACTGTTCTTTTTGTCTGCCCGACGTATGATGCGTCGCAATCATTGTAGTTAATCTTATACACTACATTTCTTTTTGCCAAATTAGGCACTGGATCTTTATGTGTTTTTATAAAACAATTGAGTTTATTAAGACTGAAGAACGCAAGATTGACGTTAAAATCCTTAATTATATCTCTAAATTTTTCCGGAACCTTCGTCACATAAGGAAACGAGAACCACATCTTTCTTGTGTCATCTGTACAAAATTCGTTCTCAGTATTTTGTTTCAACGTTTTCCCATGTAATAAAGATTTAAGACGTTCACTTATTACATTAAATATAAAATCCATCGGATAGTCATTGTTTAAAAGTGTTTCTATAACAATAATTAAATTCTTTTTGTGATATTTAGGAACTGATAATAAGAAAGCTCTATCAACCATTCCCATAACCACGCCCTTCTTCTGTGAAAGAGGATGTTCTGACAAAAAATTTAAGTATCTACCGGAAAATGTTGGCTTATGATACCAATCAAACTCCAATCGCCCATTGCTTTTAATAATGGTAATGTCCAAGAAATTCAGTTCACTACCACCTATCTCCATCGTAAACTGTAACCTAGGGTGGAACGAGTTAAATATATTTAAAATTTCTGAGGTCTTTTCACAAGGGATACCCATGGCGATATCGTCCACATATCGGACATAGAACGGGATATGAAAACCTAGAGTATCTAAAGCTTTCCTTTCCAGGTCTTGTAGAACAATGTCAGCGATCACTGGAGACAGAGGTGAACCCATAGGCATTCCAAATTTTTGTCTGTAAATGACCCCATCAAAAGAGAAGAAAGCCGAGTTAAACACGAATCTTAGAGCGACATTAAATTCTTCTTTAGTTATGTTCGTAATATTTGAAATCAGAGGCCATCTATGAG